TACTTCAAGCGTGACCCTGAATTGGGACACAGCTGATGTGTCGAGTTCACCTGCACACACCTGTTCGCTCCGTCATTTGCTGGTTTAGGAAACACGCCCACGTTTAACATCGGGAGCTTTCTGCTCAGTATAACGAAACATCACAAAGAATAAAAACATCTTTGTGAAGTAGCTGTAGTGGGATCAACCTTTTATCTTTAAATAGCTAAAATAGGTTTTATTCTCCTAATCAAAATCCCGGTGCCTTGAACTCTTGCAGATTTCTTTTTTAATGTGTAAAATAATGCTAATGTTTGTTTCCCCATACATCACCTGGCATAAGTTGTTTTTCACCATAACCATCGGCTATCCTAGGCTATCAACAGTGTGTTTCTCAAACCACGATTGCTTCTTAAGATGCTTACATCCAACTATTTGAGCAGATCAGTGGCAGAGCTATGCTATTGACGTACATTGATACCAATCCAGTCAGTGGATTTCCATCCATCCGGGGCCAAGTCGTGGGGGCAGCAGTCCACTTAGCTATGCAAACATGCCTCATCTTTGATTAGGATTGCTGGACTTCAGAGTGGCTTATATGATTCATACATAACTTCCTTAATTCTGATTCAAAAAGAATAGATGAGATTTAAGAGAAGAGAAGCAGACTGAGCAGCGGATCAGTCAGGATGGTGTGATAGTCGTACAGTGTTTCTTCTGTGATGAATGTGTTTGGAAATGTTTCCTGATGACACAGTCTTGGACTCTTGCAGAGACTTCACTGGATACTGCAGAGAATCAGAAGCACGCTAGGATGACCAGTGTAAGTTTGTCAAACAAGAGTTTGTAATATTCTCATCTTATTCTGATGTTAATGCTCTGCAGTGATGTAATACAGTTCACCATCACAGAGCACCACTGTAAACACTGAATCTTTTTTTACACGTGAATAACGTGAAATATTTCTTTCTATTTTAAATTTATTGCATAGTTCTCACATTTATGTTTTAGATACAAACATTTGTAATATTATACGAAGATAACCCGAGTAAATACGAAATGTAATTGGGGTATTTTTTTCAACCTGCTGGATAGACGAGTATGTGAATGTGATAACCAGAGAACGAGGTGATGTAGGGAGCTTCAGTTTGATGTCATACCACCTCTGTTTGTTTTTGAATGAACTTAATAACTGCTTGGACTGTTTGCAATAAACAGCAATTAATGTTTGACATTCCTGTAGAGACACTTTGGAGAATTATTTTAACTTGGCAACTTTAGAAGGTATTTCAGTATGAATGGCCTGTTTAACATCATGCCACAGCATCTTAATCAGATTAAAGTCTGAACTTTGTCTAAGCACTTCAGTTTTTTAATTTATTTTTATTCATTTATTAAAGTGGGAATTTTTCACATCCCTGTCCTGCTGCATAACCCAAGTGTGCTTGAGCTATAGGGCACAAACTTATGGTTGGACTTCAGGATTGTAGGGTTTTCTGGTTGAGAGCAAAATTCATGTATCCATCAATTAACACTACCACCACCATGTTTGACTGTTGATATGTTGTTTTCTGTTCTCTATATGTAATGAGACCTTCCAAAAGGTTACATTTCTGCCTTGGGACCCTCATGTCATTTTTGCCCAGTCTCTTTTTTTCATTGTTGAAACTCTGACCTGAGGCAGATGAAGCCTGCAGTTCCTTTACGACCTGGATGAGTCATTGATCACTCCTGGAAAAACTTTGTTAGAATCCCAAAACCT